AAATGCGAATAACCCAGGGCAGAAGGGGAGATACCACAATTGTTTAGCACAAGTCTGGTCAAAGAATCGGTTTCACTTGTCCCTTTGATGAGTTGTTGTGTGGTGCTAAGAATGGCGATACTCACTGACGATGCCGACTACGATGCCGGCGATGGAATGTACCACGTCCACGGTCCTACTCTAGAAACGATGATGCATACAATGGACTCCGGACTAGGTGCGTTTCTATAAGTCTTCCTGCCAATATGACCGAGTTGCGAAAACAAGGTCAAACAACTTCTATAAATAATTTCTGCTAACTAGAGCTTGCAATAGATGATTCGATTTCTAATTCATTTTAATCTTACAAACGAATTTTTCTTGTGAATCCGATTTACTTGAAATTTTTGCCTAATCGTGGTCAGGCCATTTAAGCGGTTCTTTTTCAAAATCTACAATAGTATACGAGCTATTTAATCATGAATATGATTAATTTAGTCGATTATATGCAGATATACAGGTTTTATTCGTTTTGAGTAAGATTTAGAGATTAACAGTAGATCTTAACTAAGATTTTTAATCGCACTAGCTCGCTTAAGGCAAGGAAGGCCTGATAGTGAATTTTCCCACAGCGAGCTACAATACAATCATACCTGTCTGTAGATTCTAAAAAGAGCTGCACTACTCGGGTTTGATTCCTATTTAGGGGGGCTAATGAGACCCAGGCGAGGCCGAGACTGCTGTCTCCTCTGGTTATGAATACCTTCTTGTAAGCAAGGTTGGACAAAATTAAATGTTATCATAGGGCCTAATCATCGCATTGCGGGGAAAATACACTTTCAATCTTGAACAACTTAGGCAGCTTGAAGTGGCCACATTTCTTATTCAAATACTGGTTTGTCTCCTCGACAAATCATCCATAAATGTAATAATGCATATATATATATTTTATGATTGAGTGGCGAACTTCACACACCACCTAGGCTCGATTTCATTCGAGGTCTGATGACAATAAGTCAAGATTGAAACTGCAGTCCAGACGGGGCAAGAATATCTTTTGCGAGGCAAGGCTAACTTAAATTCAATATCTAATCACTTATTTGTAAGAAAATTCAAGTATCATTCCTTCCTAATATTATTTCACTCAGCATGGTTACATAACTCAGTTAACTTACACTAAGCAAATTGTAGAATTAAATTAATATATACAAATATAATATCTAACTATTTACTATATCTGCTTAAATGAATTGATTTAGATTAAATTGAATTAAATGGACAACTACATTCTGGAGTTTCTGGGCAGTCAGTCACTTTGCTCTTCAAGTTGTCTTACCCCATGGTACTTAACCTTTGCTCTTAAAAGAAAATCCGCAAACCCCTTAGACTAATTGAAAAATGTATTTAGCTTTTCGTTATTTGATAGATTTTCGAGATTAACAATGGATCATATGTATGGGATGTATTCATCATATTGCATTCTACGTGATAAGGGGACTGGTGGTTGAATTTTTTCATTGATTTAAGTAGGCCTTGCGTTTCCATTAAATTTGCATAGCTTTGCTTCCCTAGTTCTCATCAATATCTCCAATAAGACTCGAACCATGATAGTGCAACATATAATCTCGACACATTAACCATTATGCCACATTGCCACGAGTATCCTTGCTTTACATGGCAGATGTGGATTACAAGGAAACCAGGCATTTTCTTATATCACATTCTTCGGTATGATTGTCGATACAGCAGAGTTATTTTTGCTGGGACAATCGACCACACTACTTGGTTTTAATTTTTTTATTAGATTTTTGCGACTTCTAGTAGGTCATATATATGAGATGTATTGGAAGAATTTAATTATTAGCCCTCTTTTCACCTTAAATGAAATAGAGTTAATACGTCACATATAATCAAATGGTAGTCTCGAAAACCTATTTAAAAACGAAAAATAAGTGATGTAGTTGATTGCTATAGCAAATATGAGTTTGCTTCATCGATAATCCCAGTACAGAAGGTGATATAGAAAAATGCCTAGCTTTCCTTGACATTCACATCTGTCCTGTAGCCCAAGGGCACTCGTGGCATTGCGGAGTAGTGATTAAAGTGTCGAGATTATGCTCTGCAGCGTCATGGTTCGAGTCTCGCTGGAAGTGCTGATTAGGCCTAGGCGAAGTAGAAACTGTCCTTCACACTAGATTAAAATATATTTGTGAATGCAATTTTATGTGAAATTTGCTGGAAACGTTAAGTCTGCTAATATATATATGTGGGAAAATTGAACTGTCACTAACTTTATCATCCTAAATGAAATATGGTTCTTAGCTTTTGTTGTCTAAGGCCTGATTTTTGAGCCTCTAAGGCCTCAATTCGAAATACTTATCGAAGCCTGATTCCAGCTTTATCTGTGCCTTTCCCTCGTCAGTGCGTAGTTTACACTAATGCACACCCATCCTTCTGAAGTCTGTTAGGATGATTGAAAGCCCCGATCGTAGCCGAAACTCCCCTCCTACCATAGCAAGGATACAATTTTTAACCTAGTGATTCACGTCTCTTCTTCATCCTCCGCTAGATATTTGGCTATCACACCTTAAAGTGTAAAGTTGTAGAACACTTCTGTGGATTATCATCTGGTTATTTAAATATAATGACACAGATAATAACCAAGCTCCGCTTATATGAGTATGAAAAAGTATAGGATGGCTGAGGCGATGATAGTGAGATGGAGTGCTCGCTTAGTTGGGGTAAAGATGTTATTAATACGGAATCGCATTCTTTCATAACGTTCACAAGCATTATTTCATACTGGGCATACACAGTTGATTCAGCTACCAGAAGGAGTTTCTCTTTAGGAGAACGTTTAAATCCTAACCGAGTCACAATCGCTGAATTCAATTCAGAGTGGTCTAAAATGAAGAGCTTTAGAATCAAAGGTATGAAGTTTTTGAATTAATAATTCGAGAAAACAACATTGAAATACTTTCCGTTTATAAGTAGAATTTAGAGATTACCAGCAAATCAGTCATATGAGATGTATTCACCTTATTTCATTTAAGGTGATGAAGGACGGGTTGTTGAATTTTTCCAAAATCGTGTCGAGATTTGACTCTGCACTGTCACGGTTCAACTACCGTTGGAGATATTGTTAGGACATATGCGAGGTCTAAACTACAGTCCACCCTTGATGAGAACACCTTTTGGGAAAGCAAGACTATGTGAAATGCAATGGAGGCGTTAGCCCTACTCATATCAGTGTGGGAAATTTCAACTACTAGTCCTTCATCACCTTAAACGAAATAAGGCGAATACATCTCATATGGCATTAAAATAAGTTAATTCGAGAGAATGGTTACTGAAGCTATCGCCAAAACTCTACATGTTCGGTTAAAAAAAATTTGAGCACTCGGCGTTTCGAATTCTTTTACTTTTCACGTTGGATATCTGGTAGCCTGGCCGAAATCTACCTTAAGATTATGAGCTGAGTCATGTCACTTTTTAAGAGAACTCTCGCAATAACCATTATGATAATTAATTTATACTCGTCAATAAGCCTAATTTGTTTGTACAGTGTCTTGTCATTAGTTACCTGTCTTATTCTTTTGTGCTGTAAATATCACTTTGGGTTTGGAAGAATCTCACATTTAGTTTCTTTGTTCACTCAATTCACTGCTCCCAGTCAGAAATTATACAAATTACTTCCTTAAATATATTAGCTTTACTACTTTTCTATAATTGTAGGTAGTACTTGTGTTTTACAAAAATATTGTATCTTCTATTTAATCGTCTCTTCAACTACCACCTTCGGGCCTTTGTTTTTTTTAACAACCCCTTGGCCTTTGAAACAATAAGTTATAATATGGCTCAGGGAGTCCAAGATTTTTATGACTCTTGCATAAGTTAACTGTTCCTTATTAGGCAGCCAAGCCAAAATAAATTTTGACATTCGGAGACGCCGCACCGATCATAAACGAATAATATTAATGGCCACACTTTCTTTAGCTTCAGGTAGTACGAGGTTCTGAATAAGGAATAATCTCTTTATACAGGCTTATTAATGGCTGAGTATACAACGGCTGCAACCTTTTTGCTGATAGACTTTAAGCGTGAGCAAAGCTTTATTAGTCCACTAGGATGTCCCCTTTGTTTGGGAAGATGTCTCCTTCAGTATCCGACTTTAAATTTTCTGTAAGTTTAGCCAACTTAAGGAATAATTTCCTAATCTTTCAAGAAGATGTTGTGCTCTTGTAGAAAACAACTGCTCACATTTACAGTTGAGGCGTTGATACGACCATTTCTAAACTCCAAGACTAAACCACTTTTATCAGCAACTTATGTTCCTCTTCTGTTAGCATGTGGAAAGAGCATTCCATCGCTACCTATAAGAAATATTAGGCTGTTACCTATTAGGCAACAACGATTTCAAGAATATCCAACCTCTATTATTTTTTCCATTACTTCCTCTGTACTAAGAGGATTTTTTTATTTATAATAGAATGTACCTGTCTTGTATTGGTCTACGAAAATTGGCCTTTTTCATCCACCAAATGAACATAGGATTTATTAGCTTTAGCAAAGTGATTTACATGAATCCGATGGTCATTTGACCACTTCTCAACATTTTCCCAGACCATAAATTTAGGGAGTGTTGTGCCCTAGAACTTTTATGATTTCTTTGCAACCTCAGAAGCTTCGAGCCTTAGAATGAAATACTTCCTTTTAGCTAAAATCGCCAGATCCACTCTGCTTTTAATACACACCTCAGATCTCGGCCTCACCGAGAGAAGATTGGCTTGCTCCGACGACTAACGAGTACATAATCGACTGTATACAACGCAGTTCAAAGCTGATAGGGCTGAGGAGGCTTCCTGGGTGGGTCCTAGTGGGGTCAAAAGTAGGAACAACATTTTTTTTGGGGACATAGGGGGCGGTTAACTTGCGAATGAAGGCCTGAACTTCAAGAGAAAATGACCGTCCAGCCAACATTATGTATGCCAAACTGCTTCTAAGGCCAATCCATTTTAGCTAAGCCCCCAAACTTTACTGTTTACTCAATACTCTTGATCTATTCTACTTTTTTTATCCATTTCACGGCATAGCCAGATTCTAATGAACATTCTAGACTGCTTTTCGGCTCTTTCGAATAGTAGCATTCGAACAATACTACTTATTCAATGAAACCCTATGTCTCTTCATACAATTTAAATACTGATAGTTGAGCTTTTTCCACAGTGATACAGAGTAGGACTCACGATTTAATTGAAGTTAATTCAGCCTTGTCTCCGAATTTTTTTCCGATTTCAGCTTGTCTGCGGTTTCGATCTTGCCTAGATCTCATCAGGGCCACCGACCAGATTCCAAACTTTCTTATTCGCATCGTGGCGACTAGATACGATGGGTGCCACTGTGTCACAGAGCAGATGATCTTGTCAACGCAAAACCGGGCTCCAAACCCACATTTTATAGTGGAATTGACGATAAGGCAAATATGTACATGCCATGTTTCGAAACTATCAATAATTATCGAAAAAGAGTTTCGAACATAATCACATAGAATACAATATACTTGCAACATGCATGCTTTTTCGAAAAACCCACCATAACATGGGATATAGGAAAGGCCTGAATTTTTGACGAGAAACTGGATTTCGAAGACTCCCTTAGTAGAATGGCGCTGGTATACCTTTCATTTCGTTTGGGAAGGCTGGCGGGAGGGATTCTTAGATTGGTCGCATCGGATACCGAGTAAGGGTTGCCTTGTGCTTAGGTCTGTTGAATTGTGCTAAGTAGACATCAGCTTATCGTCTCGCGACCCCGATGACTCCGAGCTGAGCTTTCGTCCGTCATGTGACGGACATCGCCAGAGCCATAGACCATTATTTACGGACAATCACCAAGAGTACTAAACTAAGAAAGATGGTAAGCTGAAATCCAACTTATTTCTTATATGTGATCTTAATGAGGCATTCCATGATTTGGTTGGCTGTTTTATGCTTGCCCTACATACATGTAAATGAGTGAAA